TCACGAGAATCCTATGGGAAAGAAGCGAAATAACTGGCGCAATCGACGGATTTTTCTCTCCAGCCAAGATATCGTCGTTTTACATGCATGCATAAAAAACTGTCATCTTTATGAAACTGTCGTCGCGCACAAGTTGGTATGTAAAAAAATACTGTTAATAATATTATAAATTAATTTTTATTAGATATATAATTTTAATTTATTATTAAATTACACCAATTTTATACTAATTAAATAAAACACCTTTCAGAGAGATCTCCGTTATTGGCATACAAATTTTACAAAATAGAAAGTAACTATAATGTACTTTTTTTTTATTTAAAATACTACGAGTTTTAGAGTTTCTGTTAAATTTTTCTGATATTATATTTTATTCGTAAAAATGGTTGAAATCAAATAAAGCCGAGATTAAAGTTAAAAATGAACATCTATTCGCGCTACTCAATTTCATTTTCAGTATTGTGCCTTTATCTCGTAAAATATAACGAGCCGGCTAAATAGAGTTCTAAGCAATAAATATAAATAAAATCGCGATAATCTTGCCGTTGCCACTGGCGAATACTCCGACAAAGATTATTCTTTTTAGCATCCGGGTCGACGAAGCGACTCGGTATGCTAATACCGACGAGACGCGGATAAAAATGCGGCTGGCAATCAGCGTTTATATGAAAAACACTTCTCCGACACCCCTCCGACATCCACCCTGACAAACCATCCCCGACCGATGTCGTCGCTTTGCGATTCCGCGATATTACTCGAATCTTGCCATCGCGAGCCAACAAGTCGCTCTCTTCTCTTCTTAGCTTTTTTTCATCGTCGACTCGAGAGCGGAAAATAACTGGAACTTTGGACGGATAATGCGACACGCCCGCACCCTCTTTCGCCGTCTTTCGCCTCGCGAAAGACTTCTCTGCGGATTTTCTGAAAATCTTCTTTATTCGTATGCGAGTGTCAGCTTTCTTAAAATGAGCGAGATAACAAAAGTAATGGCTTATAACTAAAACGCTATCTAATGTAATGACAAACCGGCAATTTTATTTCTTGTTGTAGTTGAATGTTATTTGAACATATCTAATTTAATATAGAATATGTATAATTTCTTGTCAAAAAATCGGGGTATGTTAAGTTAGCACCCCAACTATAGTACTCAGGAGTTCTGATTAGAGTTCCCACTTCCTTTTGACGAGACGAAGAGTTCCCTATAGTTAATAACAAGAGTTCCGCTCAATAAACATTTTTTTTACATTTTTTAAAAATGGGGTGCTAACTTTTTATCGAATTTCGAGGTGGAATAGTTCTGAGCGATTTAATAGCTTCAATTTGCGATTGCCTAGAGTTCCTGATATGTAAAAAAAATTTTCCAATAATAAAAAAAAAATTAAAAATTTTTGAAAAATTAATTTTTAGATAAAATAGTTCTGATGATAATTCCTGCTTCTTTTTGACGATACGAAGAGTTCTCTATGATTTTTAATGACATATGCGCTTAATAATCATTTTTTAATAATTTTTTAAAAATGGGGTGCTAACTTTTTAACGAAATTCAAGGTCGCATAGTTCTGATCAGCTTAACAGAACTATTTTGTGAATACCTAGAGTTCTTGATACATAAAAAACATTTTTGAAATATAATAAAGTTTAAAAAAAATAGTGGAAATCTTTGAAAATTTTTTTGAGAGTACCGAGTAGTTCTGAGTAGTGTTTCTTATAGTATTCGATGAGTTCTATCGAAAACTGTAAGGTGAAAAAGCGATTGGACCAACGGTTTGCAAGATACAGCGACATTTGTCAGAAGATCAACAATTTTTAGAGTATATCTCGGAAACCATTGGTCCAATCGCTTTGAGCCCTGATACTTTTCGACAGAACTCGCCGAGAACTGTCCAGAACTCCGAACAGAACTACTCGGTACTCCCAAAAAATTTTCCGACGTGGGACTTGGAAAAAAATTTATGATAAAAAATTTTTTGGGAGTACCGAGTAGTTCTGATCGGAGTTCTGGACAGTTCTCGGCGAGTTCTGTCGAAAAGTATCAGGGCTCAAAGCGATTGGACCAATGGTTTCCGAGATATACTCTAAAAATTGTTGATCTTCTGACAAATGTCGCTGTATCTTACAAACCGTTGGTCCAATCGCTTTTTCACCTTACAGTTTTCGATAGAACTCGTCGAGTACTATAAGAAACGCTACTCAGAACTACTCGGTACTCTCAAAAAAATTTTCAAAGATTTCTACTATTTTTTTTAAACTTTATTATTCTTCAAAAATGTTTTTTATGTATCAAGAACTCTAGGTATTCACAAAATAGTTCTGTTAAGCTGATCAGAACTATGCGACCTTGAATTTCGTTAAAAAGTTAGCACCCCATTTTTAAAAAATTATTAAAAAATGATTATTAAGCGCATATGTCATTAAAAATCATAGAGAACTCTTCGTATCGTCAAAAAGAAGCAGGAATTATCATCAGAACTATTGTATCTAAAAATTAATTTTTCAAAAATTTTTAATTTTTTTTTTATTATTGGAAAATTTTTTTTACATATCAGGAACTCTAGGCAATCGCAAATTGAAGCTATTAAGCCGCTCAGAACTATTCCACCTCGAAATTCGATAAAAAGTTAGTACCCCATTTTTAAAAAATGTAAAAAAAATGTTTATTGAGCGGAACTCTTGTTATTAACTATAAGGAACTCTTCGTTTCGTCAAAAGGAAGTGGAAACTCTAATCAGAACTCCTGAGTACTATAGTTGGGGTGCTAACTTAACATACCCAAAAAATCGAAGCTTTTATGTTAAATTCCAATAATTCCAAATCTTTCAATTATTAAATGTAACGTTAAATAAACATTTAAATAATTATGTAATTTGTAAAATATCTTAGATATCAGCAAAAATTCTTGCTTTCTTAAAAACCATTATTTTTTTTATAAAAAGATTAATAATAATTGTTCAAGCAAGAATGTTATTTGATAAATAAAATAATGTATAATAAAATATATATAAAACGACGTCGCCGAGATGTTAAGTTAAAGCGTCGAAAGGAGATCAACGATAATGATGCACAATTTCGGCGCTACCACGCTAGCGTTGTTTCACGCAAGACACAATGAAACCGGTTGCAGCGAGACCTTCATGAAAAATTGACCTCCGGTACTGAAAAGAGCGTAACACCGTGTTTCCAGCGCGATAAGTGGACCTGAATAAAATATGATTAACGACGGACTGTTACTCTTGTGCCAAGACTGCAGCTACTGTGTCGGGAGAGGCATGTATCGCGTGTGCTTTTCGTCTCTCGCTTTAACATTGTCGTATGAAACAATTTCGGACGGTAAATCATGCCAAGAATTCCATAGAATTCTTACGTCTGTGACCGCACGCTAACAAAATATATTTTAATGACAAATTCTTTAAACTCGGAGAGATGATCCCCTCTGAATATATTATACATTTAATAAATAATTACCAACCAAAAATAGATATCATCTCTTTATTTCCGACACTAATTATCCTGACAATTGAATTTAAATTACCTATATTTATTAATTGCAATAAAATTTGCATTAACTTTAAGTAATGAATGCGATTTATCTTCAAGTCGATAAATTAAACTTCACGTTAAATTTTCGTTAAAAAATCCAATTTAAATTAATCCGTCCTGAAATTAATCCTGAAATTAATCCATTCTGAACGAATCTATCGTCAAGTATATTGTCTCTGCGAGCATTATAGAGAATTCCGCTTCCGATAAATGATCGCGAATTAACATGGTTAGCTCGCCGTACGAGCCAAGCCGAGAAATCTAACCGGCAAATTGGATTCTATTGGATTCGCGATTTTCAGGCGCCATTAGCAATGCTCGGCCCTGTGGGAAACTGCACTCGGCCTGCTCAATGGCGCAGGGACCATTTGGGCTCCGTGGCCGCGAACGGAGTCCAATCGAGTACAAGGCTAGAATAGCTAAATCGTAACCGCATCGTGAAAATTGCCATGACGACAATCGTATAGAATATAAATTAAGAATATATCGACAGTTTTATATCGATAAATATCAACATTATTCTTTGCGAAAATTCGCAATCGTTATCAATTGTAAATTTTGCATTCTCTTTCTCTCTCTTTCTTGCTTTAATATTAAAAATACCTATATTCAATTGAGCATATTTTGTTTAGAGAATCAAAAATATCTTCAATTAAAGATTGACAAAAAAATATTTCCAAAGTTTGGGCGAATTTCAGCACTACAGAAGCCAAACCGATCGACTTAATTTTAAGTAATTAAAAAAATTTTTAATAGCAAAGCACACATATAATAAGTTTATTGAATCTACTTTTTATTTAATATGTGAAAAAAACGGTTTTTCTAAATCTACAAATTTAATTGGATACTGATTTAAATATTGAAAATAATTATGTAAGAAATTCAAGCATGACGACGACTGCGATAATGTTGCAAAAAGTTTTGACATTTTAGCAATCAGTTGTCTTACACAATTATTTTGATAGTTTCATATTCAACAAAATTATTTTCAGATTTGTATCTATACCTATAAAATTTTTAGATATTTCAGCAAAATGGTCGTTTCTATCTAGAATCCATCAGTTTAGCTCTCGAGAATCTTATTTGCCTTCGAATACATTATTTATATTTTGATTCTACTGAAATGTCAACAACTCAGTGTTATTCAAGCTTGAGATAGTACGAAGGTATCACAAGAATTCCTAAACGCGACTAAATCGACTGCAGGCGGCGGAACTTCAAAAAATTCTTACGTCTCCGTTTGGACGGCAGCCAAGGACGGGTTGCTCAACTTCAATGCTCGCATCTACATTCTCGATGGTACTCTCCATCTCCCTCCGTACTGACGTACAATGTCACCAGAACAATAATTGCTATGCGTGATTACACCAGTCGAAAACGATATTCGCAAGTCGATGCACGTACATTCAGCATGTATAAAAGTACACCACCCCGAGAGCATGAGCATCAATCGATCTTCGATCTTCGAGCTCTCCGAGGCTTTCCTGAACAACAAGCAAACATGAAATACTTCACCGTGAGTAAAACAATTGTATTTCTGTTTAATATTGAAACTGAACTAATAATATAACAGCTGTATACGAATACCAAGAATTGTCGAAATTCTTAATCTTTGATTTTTGAACAGTAACATTTTACGATATTATTCGCTCGATTCTAACAGAAAGAAATATCAAATCGAAATTAAGAAAGTTGCTATAATCAAATATCACATCCTTATTCTAAAACAAAAAGATTTTCCTTATTTTATGGTATCTTCAAGAACAATTTAAAAAACTGGAACTTTAACTCTGTGTCTTTTTTTTTAGCACAAGTAAAATTTTATTCCCCTTCAAAATAAACAAAGCAGAATTCGATTCTCTTTCCTAAAATATTTTGTTAAACAATTATTTAATAATGTAATACAGGGATATTAAAAAGTAAAAATATGGTCGCAGACGGAGGATTAATAATCCTAAGTCTCTTTTAATTTCGCGTGTTCTTTTAAAGAGTACCTACATTGGAAGCTTTTTAACTGACACGCCTTTATACTTCTCTTTGACGTCCACAGGCTATCGCCCTGTTCGCCCTGGTGGCCATTGCAGCCCTCACGGAAGCGAAACCCACCGGGGTGGAGTCCATCGAACCGGCGCGGGCCGAGTCCACTTCGCCGGAAGCAGCCAGGAACAAGCGAGGATTGTTGCTGAGCGCGGCTTATACGGCGCCGCTCACTTACAGTGCATACACCGCACCGGCCGTGGCGTACTCCGCATACAGCTACCCCTATGCGTACACGGCCTATTCAAGCTACCCCTATTACGCCGCTGCCTATAGCGCACCCTATTACTTGGCCTAGATACGCGACCACATGAGCCCGAGGGAATACGTCAAATTACCGACCAGCTTCTCTGATTTCGACGATGACAACCGCCAACTCGACCAACCACACGAGGAGAATATTCAAGACGCGATCACGTAAGACAGTTTTCGATCAATCTCTTAAGCAGAATATCTATTACATCGAATGAATTCTACTTTCATCAAGAAAAGTGTTTGGTTCGTCCATAAGTGAAACAGGTTATGTACTATTTACTTGGATTCGATTCTTGAAAAGGATTCTGTTTTACGAGATATGTACTTCACTCGAGTTACGTTGGTTCTCCGGAAAATTATTCAAGATTCATAGAGGCATGCCAAAAAAATATAAGTGTGACATAAATAGTCAATTCGTATGCATGGTAGAGATTCTAAGAGGATCGCAAATGAACAGGAAGCGAACCATATTGAGAACCGGGCCTTATTCGAGTGAGGTTACGTTCACTTTCGTTATCGGTAACACCTCTCGCACAGTTGTCCAGTGACTATGTTATTCACTCTCTAAAGAAAATACTCGTGTTGTTTATACGGTCTAGTTGAAGAACACTTATTACACTTATCACCATATGCACACATATACATCTCTTATTAAGTACTCCATGTATTTACTCCATGAAAACAAATAAAACGGACCGTCCACCACTTGGATTTGCACAAAGAGATTCTATTCGCGCAACGCGATATTACTATTGAACTTCATTATGTAAAATGTGAGAAAAGATCATTGATGAAGCGTTGTCAAAGAAAAAAAACATCTCTTTGCGCACATACACGTACAATGCATTTATAAACTATATAATTCAGTAATAATGTGTCGCAATTATATTACCAAATGCAATGTATTCTCTTATTTCGTTTAAATATTATATTTGTATAAATCTGAATTTTCACGAGAAGAATATTCGCAGCGTGATTCTGTATAATATATCTCATTACATAAAAAATATTAACAAAAAAAAAAATTGACGAAACGTTGCTAATTCTTCTTCGTGTTTATTTCTTGTATAAGACATCTATTGTATATTCATAAATCATGTAAATCATTGCAGAAAAAATATATAACGCACAACACAACAATTCTCTCTCACAATATTTTTCTATTTCCTATCACCTCGTAAAACTTATCTGTAAAACCAACGACGTAGTTTTCGACAAATATAAATTCAACTTTTTCTCTGATATAAAAATTTGGGGTAAAAGATGTGATTCATATTTAATAGAGGGTCTTGATATATTTTTAACTTTATTCACTTTAAAAGAAGTTAATTCCCAACCATTTTTTTCATACAGAAAGAATTTTAATGGAAACATATTTATAAAAGCAAAATATTTAATGTGTTAAGTAGTTTATTAAAATTTATTAAAGTTAGTCAAGCTGTGTGAAATTTCAAGGTGTGGAAGATCGGCGTCGGAAAAATATCTCGCTTGACCTAGATATTGTGAGATGTTACTCTCATAGACAGATAGAACTGTGCCTTCGCCAACGACGACAAATGCATATTTAAATCCATGTCTTTAATAAGAATTTAGAGACACTTGCAAAGAGAATATAACGCGGAAAACTGTAGGAAAAATTCCTGGTAAGATCTCGGAAATAAAGATTGATACTATTTTGAAAAATATAAAAATATCTCGTTTTTTGTTATCTTATCTAACTTATCTCTTATCTTCAATAAGTATAAAAAAAAAACATTTCGTTGTAAGTTTCTTTAATTTTATGATTTTGTTTTTAATATTCGTCAATTCCTTCTACACAAGTTTTCCTACATCTTACTTCCATTTACTAATTCTTTAGTAATTCCATTTACTATTTATTTTAATTAATTGCGTTTTTATATAATATTTTTAAGTATTTGTGATAATAATAATATCAATACTTAAGCGTTCTACATAACTACATACTTTTATAATTCAAAATATCTTTTTCAGATTTATTGTATATCAAACTAAATTTTTTAAATGCTTCAGCAAAACCGTTCTTCCTAAATCAATTTATTTAAACTAATTGAGATTGTAATAATTTAAAAAAATCTTAAAAATGAATCCTTTTAATAAAATAAAAACTAATATATTTTAGAAAAACCAATTTTTTCAGCGGAAAGGATTTTAAAATATTTAATAGCCTAAAAAGCTGACGCCCACATAAATTACAGCCTATCCAACTTAACGATGGAAGCACCTCCGTTGCTTCACGATGATGAATCAACGATAACGGGTAACCATAACGATCGAAAAATCATAACGGCGATTTCAGCAGAGGAAAAGCGATAATAAAATTGGCACGGGATGCACATCGAATAAAATATATCGATTGAAAGTGCACTCTGCTGTCTGTCAGGAAGACAAGGGAAAGGGTTCATAGCCGCAGCCTCGACAACTCGGGCGTGGAAAAACTTTTAATTGCTTCGTTTAATTGCCAACGTTAACCGTTTCGCGTGGTAATTAAGTTGAGTCGCGCGACACATCTGTCGTCGTCCTGGTGTGCTGAATTATACTAGGATTATTTCGTGAGGCGAGAAATAAAAGATTCTGCAATTTCACGCTAGTCTTTTATCATCGAAAAAAGAAATAAGCATAAAATATTTGAAGAAGTTGAACCGAGAGTTGAACATTCCAATACTTTTTCACGTACTTTTAAATCAGCTTTTTTTCGAAAGACGAATGCATTATGCAGCAATAAAAAACTTTTTAAAAATATATACATTAAAATAATTAAAATTAATTAAATGCCATTAAAATTCTGACAGAATGCGAAAGTTTATAAATAAAATTGACATTATTTAACACACAGTTTCCAATCTTATGACACCGATTCACCGAGCCAATTTAATTCATTATCATAAATTAATCAGTTGCACTGTCGCACTTTGCGGAAATGTCTAATCAAACCTGAAATAAATCAAATAACCGTCGAAATAATTTTATCGGCGAATCTCGTTAAAATTCCAGTAACTGTATTCGCAAATATGTTCACCACATTCGAAGTGAAATGCGAATTTCACATGCAACGTGTCGCATACATGTGTCAATGAAACTACCAAAAAGTTCGCGTGTGTTTCGAACAAACGAATTTCGCAGCGATTGCTACGTTGGCTCTCCTATTCCTGGCTATGTTATACAATGCTCGCTAACAAATATATTTTACGAACGGAAAGATATTTGATATTTACAAAAAAATTAAAACCTTTTTTTAATTAACATCTTTTTTTAATAGATAAAAACATTTTTATTATTGAACGTCACATATTTCTGTGATTGCTTTAATTCTGGCATCAAATATCTGAAAAACTATTTTTTTTCTTCAGATTCTATTAAAATTAAAATTCATTCAAAGAACAAGATTTTGTTTTCGGTTTGCATTTCTGAAGCAACTTCAAGACGCCTTCTTCTTTAGTCGATCTCAGGTTCGCGTAATATTTTCGTTCAACGAGTATTATTTCAGGAATCACCAGGGAATACCGCCACGTGCAACGAACGCCTATTTTATCGAACGCCTTGTATATAGCTGGTGCAGGCAACGAACGCACGCGCGTAATCCCGGGATTTGAAGCCCCGTACTAGTGCGGTTACCGAACCGAAACGACCGGCGCATACTAATGGGCCCTCTCCCGAAACGTCGGGCGCACGTCTCGCGTTGTCTCGCGTGGCCGTGCCGTAGTTTCCAGTCTGGTAGCGGTATTAATTGCCACAACGTCGAGCCCGAGCGAAAATTGGTCGGGAGTTTCCCGGCATCGCGATGTCGGCCGGTGCAACGACGCACTTGTGACAACTTTGTTTCACAAAAGTAATCCATTCTCATTCTCGTGTCTCTGGTGCTGCTGTATGACCACTAAAATCTAAATGCGACTGCAATTACGAAGTATTATAATAATAATCGAAAGTCTAATTCTAAAATTGGAAAGGAGAGAAATCGGATTGTGGTCGCGAAAGAAATAGATGCAATTTTATGATGTCTTTTATTGCATTTAATTCTTTCAGACGAATAGCTCAATCGTCTGTTTGTACGATTGCTATACGCAAGATATGTACCAATACAGATATTTTTCAAATTTTTACGTGAAATATGGAGACCCAAAAGAATCTCTGGATATATCGAAACGTTTTGAATATATGGCCCTTATATTTTCCACGAAATGGGATGTAATAAATCATTTCCCTCCTGTAACCTGTAACATACTACTAAATTTTCTTTCGAAATGCGTTAATCTCGTTATTTATTTTCTATACCTCGTGAAAAACCATGAGTTTTCCGTCTCTTATTGCATTTTCGTATAAAATATACATAAATGCAGAAACGTTAAGGACGACGCAGATTATTCGGTATCTCTGCAGATAGAAACGCAACTGGCAACGTAAACGAATGTGTGCAATATGCAACGTATAATCACCGCAATAGCTGTAACTCACCTAAATGTAACATAAAGTGTCCCTGATAAGCGTACGAGAGTTGGAGCCAACTTCACACGAGTCCAAAATAATTCTTTCCATGTAAGTATTAATCATTTTCCAAACTGATCTCACGCACATGTATACATTTGTATCGATCGGTCCTCATAAAAATACAATGTGTTTTTATTAAATAATTAATTTTTTACAAAAATAATCACTCAACGACAAAAATTAATAATTAATCATAAAATAATATCAGCGCATTAAATATCTGAGCAAGTCTTTAATTTAATTTCAAAATCGTCTTTATGAGATACTAATAAATTCGTCGGGCTTTTCTTAATTAAATACGAATTCGCAGACGAACAATATCCCTCGACAACACCGGGGCTTTGCATTGCAAATCACGGTTTCCTACAAATCTCGAAATCTGCATAAGTATAAAAATAACGAGGGGCAATGGCTGGGCTCATGTGAATCCCGAGATGCTCTGCAGAAAGGGGTCGATAATACTCGTCGCGAAATTTAGATTCGTCGAGATAAACTCGCCCAGATTTCCAACCTTCCGCAGCTCGCTCAGGCGTTAATTACACTCCAATAAAAGTGGAGTGCTCTCTCGCAGTCAATATTTCGAACAGTTTTATTTACCATCTGTGGCGATTAATCTATGGTTC